GCCAGACAGATCGGCCGGGGGGCCCTTGGCCCACGCACCGCGAGGGCCGCGAGGCTGCCCAGGAGGAACGCCAGGAGGAGCACGAGCCGATGAGCCCAGGGAGGCAGCTGCGGTGCGCGCGCGCTCCACACTTGCCCTCGGGGCTGACTGCCCGCAGAGACACCGTATCCGACAAGCGAAATTCTGGTTCCTGCCACAACTTGGACACCCCCAGAAGGGCGATCGGGGCCCTGGGAGTACATCCGCCTCATCACGTCGAGCCATGCACAGCACAGCTTGTCTCAGGAGGAGGAGGGGGGGGAGGAGGAGCGACGCCAGCTACAGGTCAAGGCGATGTAATACATATTATGACGCTCGTATCTCCATCACGGGCTCCGCGCCTCGAGCTGCCGCGCGCTCAGCGGGGCCGCGCGCCTGCGAGGGCGCCCAGGCACCCCGCAACGGGCCCCAAGCAGCTGCGCCGCGACGCCCCGCATGAGCGCAGCATCCAACTGCGCCCGCCATCGGCGCAGGGCGTTCCCCGGCAGGCGGCCCCTCCGGTGGGCGCGTCTCGCGTGCGCCGCTGCGCAGTGCTCCAGGAGGCCTCCGCGCGCGCCCCGAGGCGGCCGAACGTCCCGTGCGCGGCAGGCCAGACCGCCCGGCCGCCAGCAGGTGGGTAGCGGTCGTCCTTCTCGCTCTCGGCCTCGCGCGCCGCGCTTCCCGGCTCCCGCGCAGCCCCGGGCCCCGGGCTGGTAGGCGACCGACATGGGATGCCGGACCGTGACGTCGACCAGGCAGTCCGGCAGCTCTGCGACGCCATAGGCCCAGACGTCGAGCCATGCCTCCGCGCGGCTGGTGGTGAGCTCGGGGACAAAGAGCTCGCGGCGGACGAACCCGCCCGCCTCCGCGAGGATGTCCGCGTAGACGTCGGCCAAGTCGTCGTGTCGGCGGGTCTGGAATGGCCCGCACTCACACATGGCCGCGTGGTCGCCGTGCGCGTCAAGCTGCTCGAGGCACAGCTCGTGCGTGGACGTCTTCTCATCTTCTCGATGAGGCACTGCGCGCCGGGCGGGCACGGCGTGGGAATGCCCAGGCGGAAGCGCACGGCCTCGACCCACTCCCTGTCCGCAAGAGCGACGCCGGAGAGAAAGAGCTCGGCGGTAAGCGTCGATCCCGCGGTCGGCCCCGCCGCGCTGAGGAGGCGAGTCCTGTCCCGCGCCGCAGCCCCCGCGAGCAGGTCCGCGTAGCGCGCCGCGGCCGAGTGCTGTAAGTACTTGCTGAGCAGGTGCTGCTCCGGGCCCTCTGGGCGGAGCGGGTCGCCCGCGCTCTGTGCCAGGTCCGAAGCAGGGCGGCCGCGCCCGGCGAGGGCTGCGATGCCGCAGTCGCGCAGCATGTCCAGAATGCCGTCCGCAACAGCATCGTCGACGACGTTGTACTGCTTGGCGTCGCGGGCGATAGCGGCCTCCGCGCCGCCGCCGGCGGCCCAGGACGTGATCTCTGCGCGTAGGGCAGGGCCGTGCTCAACGAGCCGCGCCGCCCGCGCCAGAGGGACAATGCGCGAGGGCACGTCCACCTGCAGGCCGGCATACCGGACTGGCAGGCTGATCTGCTGGAGCTCCGCCTCGGTGAGCTGGTCTGGGCGCAGGTCGATCGATGCCGCGACGACGCACACGACGCTCTGGTCCAGGATACGGGCGTGGGGCAGCGAGGCGCTGCACGGTAGGACTCCCGCATCGTAGTCGAGCGCGTGGGCAACGATGCCACGGCATAGGGCGAAGGCGGCCTGCTTGGCCCCTGCCGGAGGTGCTAGCCGCATCATCTCGAGAGCGGCGTCGGCGAGGCGGATGGCCCGATCCAGGCGCTGCTGAGTCTGCTCCGGAACGCCGGCGGCGTACAACGGCATGGCCAGGTCTCCGCGCGCCTCCGTGCCGAGGAGACTCAACCCGTGAGGGCGGTACGGGACGCGCGCCGCGAGGGCCCGCGCGTCGCCGGGGAGCGCCTCCACCGGGGCGCCGGCCAGCGCGGGCACGTGGAAGGCGCACTTCGCGAGCTGTAGCGGGAGGTTGCGGGTCGCCACAGCCGCCTCCACAGCGGCGAGAAGCTGCACTGCGATCGCCAGCGGCGCCTGCATCAGCCAGTCGTCGACGTAGAGCCAGTGGCGGATCTCCAGCCGGCAGGGCTCCAGGGGGAGGAGGAGGAGGAGGAGGAAGAGGAGGAGGAGGAGGAGGCCGTAGAGCAAGCCGCGGGCGCGGCAGCAGAACCGGCCAGGGGTTACTGCTACCAGGATGACCTGGACGTCATCTGCGACCCCGCCACGACCCCCGCCGCCGAGGACGCTTTTGCGCGCGCCTGCGCCGCCGCCGGCCTCCGCGCCAACCCCGCCAAGACGAAGCTGAGCCCAGGCAGGAGTGTCGACGTGGCGAGGCTCCCTGGGCAGCGCGAGCTGGAGCCCCGGGCCCTGGTGCTCCGCCACGGCGCGCTGCCGGCGGTCCCAGCCGCCCCCGCGGCCGCGCCAGCAGACGGAAGCCTCCTCGCCGCGGGCAGCCCCGAGGTGGCAGCCCTGCAAGCGGCCCGCGGGAGGCTCTACCAGAGACTGCGCAGTCTCTGCGCAGCAGGCCTGGACAAACACGTGGCGCTGACCCTGCTGCGCACGAGGGCGGGGTCTGACTACACTTTCCTGGCGCGAACCTGCGGCATCCCGAGCGGGGAAGCGCAGGCCTTAGACAGGGCGCTGGCCGCGGAGTACGAGGAGCACGCCGTGGGCGCCCCGCTGAACGACGCCGCGCGCAGGAAGCTCTTCCTTGCCGGCGCCGCCGGAGGGCACGGACTGCAGAGCGTGGAGCTCACGGCCCCCGCGGCGCACGCCGCCTCCTGGCACCTCTGCCTGCCGCACTGCCTGCAGCGGCTCGGCCTGGAGAGCGCGAGCGCCCTGGCCGCGGTGAGCCCCTGGGCGCGCCGCAGCCTGCCGGCGGCCACGGCGACGCTCCGGGCTGCGCTAGGAGACGACATGGCCCAAGTGGGCGACGAGGCGCTGAAAGCGACGCAGCACGCTCTGGCTACGGCCTCCCTCGCTGCGGCTGCACGCCTCGCTGCCGACGAAGCGGCCGCGGACCCTCTGGAGGCGGCCTCCCTGCGCTCCGCGGGAGGGCCTGGAGCGAGCGCCCTCCTGCAGGTGCCGACGCTGCCCTGCCACCGGCTCACCAACGCGCAGCTCGGCATTGCGCTGCGGTGCCGGCTCAACCTCGACCTACCTGGCTGCGCGGGCCCGGGCCGACTCTGCCAACACCGACACCCCAACGGCCAGATCTGCGGCGAGCCGCTGGACCCCAATGGGCGGCACGCGCGCGGTTGCAAAGTGGGCGGGTGGCTCGTCCGCCGACACGACGCGGGCTGCGCGGCGCTCGCGGAGTGGTGCGAGCAGCAAGGGTGCACCGTGCACCGGGAGGTCCTGCTCCCCCACGCCGCGCCGGCCAGCCCCGAGGCGCGGATGGACCTCGTGATCCACGCGCCGCGCCTCGCCGAGCCGCTCATGGTGGACTTCACCGTGGTGGGCGCGCTCACGCAAGACGCCCTGGCGCTGGGGGCGGCGCGGCGAGACGGCGCCGCCGCCGCGGCCGCGGCGCGGCGCAAGCGGGCGCGCTACCCGGGGGCGGCGGTCATCCCATTCGCGGTTGAGGACCACGGGCGCCTGGGCGAGGAGGCGCTGGCCTTGGCGCGGCTCCTGGCGCCGGCGGACGCCGCGGAGCGCTCGCCCGCCATCCGGCGCCTGCATCAGGCGCTCGGGTGCGTGCTGCAGCGCCACGCTGCCGACGCGGTGCTGGCAGCAACGCAGGCGCAGACCTGGCGAGGAGCCGGGGCACGCCCGGGCGCGGCCCAGGCCCAAGGCTGAGGCTGGGAGCAGACAGGAGGAAGCCGGCCCCAGGGCGGGGGGCGCCGAGGAGGAGGAGGAGGAGGAGGAGGAGGAGGAGGAGGAGGAGGAGGAGGAGGAGGCTGAGGGCGGCGAGGGGCCAGGAGAGGCCGGACGGAGAGGAGACCGAGGCACCCCCGGGGTGAGAGCACCGACGGGGCGCAGGAGCAGAAGGCCGAGGCTGGCGGCGAGGGAGCGCTGAGGAGGAGGTGGAGGAGGAGGAGCACGCGGAGAAGGAAGAGGAGGAGGAAACAGAGGGCGAGGAGACGCAGGCTGCGGCCGCGGAGCCCCGGGAGCGCCGAGGAGGAGGAAGAGGAGACAGCCCGGGCCGCCGCCCCCGCGCCGCCCCCGCCGCTGCCTCGCCGCCGCCCCCGCCACCGACCGGCTGAGGGGGCCCGTGGACGGGGGGCCCTCCCAGGGCCCCCCGCGGCCGGCGCGGGCGCCGGTCCGCAGGGCGCGCTCGCCGAGTGCCCCGGGGGTCCCATCGGACTCGGGGACCCCCGGTGCCCCGCCGCGGAGGAGGAGGAGGAGGAGGAGGAGGAGGAGGAGGAGGAGGAGGAGGAGGAGGAGGAGGAGGAGGAGGAGGAGGAGGAGGAGGAGGGGATGAGGGGGAGGGAGGAGGAGGGGGAGGAGGAGGAGGAGGAGGAGGAGCAGGAGGAGGAGGAGGAAGAGGATGAGGAGGAGAAGGAGGAGAAGAACGAGGACGAGGACGGGGAGGAGGAGGAGGAGGAGGAGGAGGAGGAGGAGGAGGAGGAGGAAGAGGACCGACCCCCGTCTCCCTCTCCTCCCTTGCCCCCTCCCCTTTTCCCTTGTGCCGGCCGCCCTCGGCCAGCAATTGCGTCTCCAAGAGGCGATCTCCACAGGTTCGCCTTCTTTTCCGCGAGACGTGGGACCCCGGGCGGACGCCAAAGGCATTTGTTCGGGGCGTTCGCTATTTTTCCATTGCATTCGTTTGGGTGGGGTTTTTCCGCAGTGGTCTCCACCCCGGTTGAGCACCTTGGCCCGCCGCGGGCTGTCCCTTCCCAGGCCCCGTTGACCTCGAGTGCTGCCTGGACTGTCCCTTCCCCCCCCCCTCCCCCCCCTGCCGGAGGAGGAGGAGGAAGAGGAGGAGGACCTCGGGCTGCCGCGCGCCGCCGCGCCGCCCTGCAAAGCGCGCGCTCCTCTGGGGGGGCCCTGGCGGCGCCCGCCGAGCCCGTCCGGGCGCACGGCTGGCCGCGCTCGCGGAGCTGCCTCGGGCACGAGGGAACGACGACAACGACAACGACGACGACGACGTGGTCAGCGACGATGATGACGACCAGGCGGGCCGACGCCGACGAGGAGGAGGACGAGGAGGATGGTGACGACGACGCAGGCCGAGGACGACGAGGACTACGACGATGAGGACCACAAGGACGAGGACGAGGACGAGGACGACGACGACGAATGGCCAGCGACGATGATGACGACCAGGCGGGCCGACGACGACGACGAGGAGGAGGAGGATAAGGAGGATGGCGACGACGACGCGGGCCCAAGACTACGAGGACGAGGGCGAGAAGAATGCCGAGGACGAGGGCGACGCGGGCCGACGACGAGAAGGCGGCGAAGCGGGGATCGGTCGGGGGTGGTGCAGAGGCATCCCCGGCTCTGCGCGCTGGGGCCCTCTGGGCCGCGTGCCCAAATCTCCGACGATGTGACTTCGCCCCCCCCCCCCGAGATCCTGAGGCGGGTCCCGAGGGAAACGGGTCCTTGATCTCCCAAGGCACCCCCTCCTATTGGACGTGCCATTTTCATCCCGAGCCCTCTCTCTTGCCGACCGCGCGAAGCACGTGGAGGGCCGCGGGGGGGGGGGGCTGAAAACGGCGAAGAAAGCACAACCCTGAGATCCTGGCGCTGCACTTCCTTCACAACGGGCGTTCTCGCCAGGTTCTGGGCCCCGGGACCCTCACATACCGATCCGGCTCGACAAACGTCGCAGAACGATGGGGCCTCGGGCTTCGGTCGTGATCTTTCACGACGTTTCAAATTTTTCGAGGCGTCGGCTCTCAGGGAGGAGGAGGAGGAGGAGGAGGAGGAGGAGGAGGAGGAGGAGGAGGAGGAGGGCCCTCACAGATCGATCTGGCTCGACAAACGTCGTAGAACGATGGGGCCTAGGGCTCCAGTCGGGACCTTTTGCGACGCTTCCATCTTTTCGAGCCGTCGGATCTCTCAAGGTCTGGGGCCCGTTGTCGGGCCCCGGGTCCCCGGCTTTTCGCGCTGGGGCCCTCTGGGCCGCAGGACGGGAAGCTCTGGGAAGGAGGAAGGAGGGAGGAGGAGGAGGAAGAGGAGGAGGAGGAGGACGAGGGGAGGAGGAGGAGGGGGAGGAGGAGGAGGAGGAGGAGGAGGAGGAGGAGGAGGAGGAGGAGGAGGAGGAGGAGGAGGAGGAGGGTGAGGAGGAGGAGGAGGAGCAGGAGGAGGAGGAGCACCCGAGGAGGGGTCCCAATGGAGGCGGGTTTCGGCCTTCAGTCCTGCCTGCCTCCGGGGACCAGTCCTTCCTTCATCCTTAGCAATTGTCCGACGGCCCCGGCGCCCTGGGAGGGCCGCTGGATCCCGAGAACGAGGAAACCTTTGCCCTGCTGTCCGTCGTCGCGAAAAACAAATGCAAGATCGGGAGAAGTCACGACCGAAACCCCAGACCCCCTCTTGCTGTGGCAATCTCCGAGCCGGATCGATCTGTGATGGTCCTGGGGCTCGAAACTGGGCGCAAAGGCCCGGTGCGAAAACATGATGGACCCACGAACCCGGAAAGGGATATAGACATGTGCAGCATGGTCACGTTTTCACGATATCCAACTGGGCGACACCTCACGAAACATCCCACGAGACACCCCGCGAAACATTCCAGGAGACACCTCACGAAACAACCCACGAGACACCTCACGAAACATTCCACGAGACACCCCGTGAAACATTCCACGAGACACCCCACGAACAGGCAACCACTCAACCAGACACCCCACGAAACATTCCACGGGGGTGCGACTGGGTGTGGTCGTGCTGGGGTGTGGTCGTGCTGGAGTATGGTCGTGTTGGGGTGTGGTCGTGCTGGGGTGTGGTCGTGCTGGGGGGTGGTCGTGCTGGGGGGTGGTCGTGCTAGGGGGGTGGTCGTGCTGGGGGGTGGTCGTGCTGGGGCGTGGTCGTGCTGGGGCGTGGTCGTGCTGGGGCGTGGTCGTGCTGGGGTGTGGTCGTGCTGTGGTGAGGTCGTGCTGGGGTGTGGTCGTGCTGGGGTGTGGTCTTGCTGGGGTGGGGTCGTGCTGGGGTGTGGTCGTGCTGGGGTGTGGTCTGGGGGGTGGTGCTGGGGGTGTGGTCGTGCTGGGGTGGGGTCGTGCTGGGGTGTGGTCGTGCTGGGTGTGGTCGTGCTGGGGTGTGGTCGTGCTGGGGTGTGGTCTTGCTGGGGTGGGTCGTGCTGGGGTGGTCGTGCTGGGGTGTGGTCGTGCTGGGGCGTGGTCGTGCTGGGGTGGGGTCGTGCGTGGTCGTGCTGGGTGGGGTCGTGCTGGGGTGTGGTCGTGCTGGGGTGGTCCGCACCCTGTGATTTATCGATCGGGTCGTGCTGGGGTGTGGTCGTGCTGGGGTGTGGTCGTGCTGGGGTGTGGTCGTGCTGGGGTGTGGTCGTGCTGGGGTGTGGTCGTGCTGGGGCGTGGTCGTGCTGGGGCGTGGTCGTGCTGGGGGATGTGGTCGTGCTGAGGTGGCCCGCACCCTGTGATTTATCGATCGGGATTTCAAAAACAAGCGTTTCGCTCGAGACATCCTCAAATTTTAATTCGCCGGCCTCCTTCGACCTCGTTATTTATCAGGGAAAAAATTCGCCGGCAATTCGCCGGCCTCCTTCAAGCAGGCACCGGGGGATTAAGTTTACAAACTAAAAGAGAACCCTGGGCCGGAGCCCTTTCCGGGAAAAAGGCAGCGCCCGGGTCTTAGGGTGAGCCCCCCGTTGCTCTGGAACCTCCCTTCTTCATGCCGAGCTCCTCCAGGCGGGGCACGCAGTGGCGTTGCTGTGCTGGCCGCCCTCTCAGGGGTGGACAGAAGCCCCTTTAGCAAAACGCCGTTTAGTGAAAACTGCCAGGGGCACTCTGCGCACGGCGCCGCATTCCGAGTGCACCCCAGCGGAATAGCAAATCGACGTCCAACAACAAGCGAATGTATCTGGCGAGACTCACGTCGATTAGCGAAACCGACAGGTGACTGCACCAGCACACTGGAACTCCAATGTGGAGTGCACTGGTGCAGATTCCTCACTCGACTTGTCCAGGGGGGCGTTCTGTCAACTAGGTGAGCCTCCATGGGAGCCTCTGTGGGCCTCCCGGGCCCAAATCGTACACGTGATCTCGACCAGATTTCGCCTAGATTTCGACCACCCACCCCTCTTTACCCGTTCGTCCAGATTTCGTCCAGATTTCGTCGAGGTGTCGTCAAGCCTGCGTCCAAAACTGTCCACCACTGTCGCCGACATCCAGAGACGAAATCCCGCAGACTGGAAGGAATTGCGGGGCACTCTGTGGCTCCTATGCAGGACCACACAGTGTCAATGTTAGGTCGGGCATGTCCCCCTACAGGCGGATTTTGGGCGAATAATTGAAACTACTCTAAAAGTATCCCAAACATAGACACACACAAATATTAGAAAAACCGTCCCCAGACTATTTATTCAACTATCTTAGACTACTCCCGCTGTAGAAAGAAAGGCCCGCCTTAATGTTAGTGCCCGATCCTCCTGCTCGTGGCACGTCGCACCGTCCAGCACCTCCGCCGCCTCGCGCAGGTCCTCCGCGGCGGGCCGCGGCGCCGCGGCCTCGAAGGTGCCGTCGAGGTGCAGCGCCCCCGCGAGCGCGAACACCTGCGCCAGCCGCATCCCAGGCTCCGGCCTCCGGCCGCGCGCTGTCTCCTGGGCCCAACCCTGCGGGCTCGTGAGCGCTTTTTGATTCGGTGTTTCGACATTGGGCGGGAAGGGGGGGGGGGTCTGGTTCTGGACCTCTGCTTAGTGTGACTGTTTGCGACAATGCGTCCTATAGGGGGAGGGACGCCACCTGCTCGAATCAGGCGCCAAAAACAGCCAAGATCCACTCCAGGGGATGGGGGGAGAGGGGGCGCGAGGGCCCGCCCCTATCGGCAAAACAATGAATACAAAAACTCCAGCAACGAGGTTTCTTGGTTTGGCGAGGTGGCGAGGCGAAACTAGAGGAACAAACAATGGCGATCTGAGCTGGACCCCCCTCCCTGGCGCGCGGAGCGTGCCCTGGGCGGCGCCGGAAGCGCCGCCATGGGGGGCCCAAGCGCGGATCCAAGAAATCCGCGTGGAGCTTCAACAGTTTATGATTATGCAGTTGTTTGGTTACACCTGGGCTGTGCCAACACCCCCAGCGGCCAGCGCCCACTGGGGATTCGGGTGATGATCATGATGATGATGATATCTCTCTCTCTCTCTTTCTACCCCATTGGATGTCCCTGGCATGTGCTTGCTTCGCATGTGTGAATCGTGCACACCTGGGCTTCGGGCAGTGGGTGGCGAAAACTGCGCGCGTCTCACCAGAAAGAGCTTCCTCCTGAGAGCCACGGCACACCATCGGAGCGATTCAAAAACATCATAAAACTTAGGTAGAAGAAATCGCTCTGGCACCGACCCCATAGATGCTGCACTCCTACTAGACCGATGGGGCCCTAGGAGTGGTACACATCCAGGGCACTCAAGGCTGATCCCCGAGCTGCCCTCAACACCGATGCTTGCCAGAGCCCCCTCAGAACTCTCGGGGGTTTTACAACTGATGTCACTCTCTGATGGCTACTACTGCTGCTGCTGCTGCTGCTGCTGCTGTTGCTACCTATTGCGCCTCCCCCTCGATTTTGCACTCCCCCAGGATGATGATTGTGTTGATGAGGATGATGATGATGCTGATGATGATGATTGTGATTGTGATGATGATGAGGATGAGGAGGAGAAGGACGAAGGAGGAAGGAAAGGGGGCGGATGGGGATCTGCCGCCGCGCCGTGCTGGCTTGCACTGAAAAGGCCCTTGGGAAGAAGTGACCTCCGTTCCTGCTAGTGTTCTTGGTTCGTCGAGGGGTAACGATAAGGGGAACTGACTCGGGGGGAGAAGCATCGACCTAAAATCGGCGATAATTACATCCCCGGTAAATCAACGATAAACCTCCGATAGCGAATCTGCACGTTCCTGGGCGGGGTGAGGCTATCAAACACCTTTCGGCGATCAGTTGGCGTCTCGGGGTCGATGCATTCCCCCCTGAGCTTATACCCTCCTATCGTTGTCTCTGGTCCCTGGCTGCCACTAACTCTGGTGGTTCCTGCCGACCTCGTCCGTTCGGCCCCGTCTCTGGCTGTCCCCGACTGTCCCCGGCTCGGGTGCTTGCCCTGCGGTGCCGCCGGCTTCCCTCGTCTGGCCCCGTCCCCGACTGCCACCAGCCCTGGCGTTTGTCCCACGCTGCGTTTGCCCCGCGTTGCCGCCAACCTCTTTCGTGTGGCCCTGTCTCCGACTGTCCCGGGCTCTGGTGCCTGCCATACGTTGCCCTCAAATGAAACTCGTGAGACGATGCGAGCCCCCTAGCGGCGGCCCGCCCCGCCTACGGCCCAAAAACCAGAGCCTCTCCTGAAAAGTGGTCCTTCTTCGAGCGAGTTGAATTTACGCGGCAGCGCGAATGGAGGACCAGGGGCGGATGGCGAAAAGGGGTCATGCGCAAACAGACCTTTCACCGTTTTGTGATTGTGCCGGCTCTTGTGCTCCTCCTGCTGCTAGATCCTCCTGGGGGCGATGCCGATTATCCCGAATCAAAGGACGCCGATATACGTCGGGAGAGGGAGAACATGCACGAACACTATAAATCTACACCCATTCTGGGCCGAGAACATATCCCAGCTAGGCTGGGAGTCCATAAGCACCAAGATACCGCTGTTGGCGTGAAAAACGCGCCCATCTCCGACTGTTGAGGCCCCCCGCGGCCCGTGCAAGTATAGGCAGTGAAGGCGCCCAACAAACCCACCGCCGAGGCACAATGTACTTGAATATTGAAGCTCGGTGGCACGGGGTATTCGAAACGAATTATTCATGCCTTTACTCCCCTTGCGTGTTCGAAAGCGCTCACGGTGGGGTCTCCCAGGAGACCCCAAGCGGACAACAGAGCGGGGCCAAATTTCCGAAGGGGTGCGCGGTCTCAATATCAATGTCGCGGTGGCCATGCCAGACCTCGATCTCATCGCAAATCATACCATGGGATTCGGGGCTGCACGAGAGATTCAGCGCCGTGGCCTTTGCCACGCCCTCCGGGTCCACCTTGGCCTTCAACTTGGCCTTGGGCTTGGCCTTGCCTTTCGCCTTACCCTTGGCCTTGCCCTTTACCTGGGGGATCTAGAGCCCAGCCTTCTGTCCAAGCCCTTCATGATTCAAATTCGCTCCCTCTCGTTCTCTCTCTCTCTCTCTCTCTCTTTGTCCCACTCCCCCTTCTGGAAGTCCATACTCCAGAAGCGCTCATCATGCTGGCGTTGGCCTCTGGATGTCCGTTCCTATTTCAGCAAACTTCCGTCGAACATTCGTTGGCAAGTTCGCCAATGCCTTACTTCTGTTTGCTTCAGTCGAAGACAGGATCCATCGCCGCTCCCTGGAGGAGGATACCTGTGCCTGCCTATCCACGTACTGGCTCTGTCTCTGCTTACCACTATATCTATGCTTGTGCCTGCCCCCATCTTCCTTTTCATGCAACTCACCCCTTCTCTCTCTCACTCCCTCCTCTGATCTCTCTAATTGCGGTCATGCAGATTGCCCTCCAGCTCGACTAGCGAAGGGGACCAATACATACAACCATGGTCAAACATGTCTCGGCGTAGACTGTGATAGGACATGGCTGACAATTGTATGTGACTCGAGGTGTGACCTGTGGCCATGCCCCCTGAGACTGTAAGAGCTGCGAGGCAACGGCGTGACATTAAAACGCTGGACATGCAACTTATGCCGACGGGGTATGGTGAGCAACGCTGGTCTGCCTGCTCAGCTAGGCTCGTTCGCTACTGTATGCGTGCTGTGGACGGTCGGATGTAGATAGTTTTACGCTGTGAATGTATAGCTTGCGCAATGTTCAACCTAAGAGGACGACATATGAATGAATGTCATCGACCGTCGTGCCAACCAATCTCGGATTCGTCCACCAACTATGCTCCCAAACCATCAACCCTGCATGCCACTCACGAATTTATCTACTACTCTGTCCTGGTCAAGCAAGTGATACCTCAATACTGGTCAAGGGAACGGCTCGTCGAGGTTGTACACCAATGATTCCATAAACCGATCCGGACAATACATTGTAATCACAAACACGAGATTCTAAGGATGGGCCGATGGCAAGAGCGAGTCCGCTTGTCTCCACCCCCTTACACGCTTACACGAATACTTCGCCACTCACATATCGAGATCGTAAACAGGAAATCCAGTTCAGATTCCAGCACGTCATATATGGTAGCTTAAGTCAGGACATTCAACATCTATCGCTCCAGCGGCGCACCTGCTCAAGGCGATCCGGCGCTGCTTCTTTGGTATCAATAAGTCGGTGGCCGCGTTAGGATCCGATTGCACGGGCAGACTTTCCGTCAGCTCCTGGAAGCAAGGGCAATTGTGGCTACACACGCGCTACGCAGCTCTACCTTTGGCTCCCTGTCTGTGCTTTGAGAGGCCGTCTCAACGTGGCGGTAGGTAGGTAGATACGTTCTGTACCATAGCCACTTCGCCTTGAGCTCACTACTCTAGTCACTCTTTATTTGTTCTTTTGCACTTCCTCTTTTGTTCTGGATCGGATCCTGGGCTGGCTGCTGAGCAGCCGGGCCATGTTGGTCTGGCAGGAGCCTCCTCGGAGGGGCAAAAGTGCGAAGGGCCCTTGAGTCTGCTTCCCCTGACTCGGGCCGGCTGGCCACTGCGCTGGTGCGAATTGAGGCGTACATGCAAAATGTTGCCTCTCAACATGGTTTTTGTTTTTGTGGACGTGTGTCACGCCCCAAGGGGGCTTTCACGAGACTGCACATGATACTATGTCACCGGTGCCGAAGACACGCCGCACCATTGACATAAGCAACATCTACCACGAGAACGGACTCCTCATGGCCGCTCTCTGTTTTCATCCCTCTCGCCCCCCTGTGAGTACTTGAGAATATTAAGGGTCGAAGAAACGAGAGGTGGGAGCGCCTTCGGTCTGCCTGGTTGTCTCCTCGGCGGAAGATCCTCGCAAGTAAAAGAGCAATGCAAGCGTCGCAAACGCATGAGGCAAACATGATGGACCCACGAACCCGGAAAGGGATATAGACATGCGCAGCATGGTCACGTTTTCACGATACCCAACTGGGCGACATCTCACAAAACATCCCACGAGACACCCCGCGAAACATCCCACGAGACACCTCGCGAAACATTCCACGAGACACCTCGCGAAACGTTCCACGAGACACCCCGCGAAACATTCCACGAGACACCCCACGAAACATTCCACGAGACACCCCACGAAACATTCCACGAGACACCCCACGAAACATTCCACGGGGGTGCGACTGGGTGTGGTCGTGCTGGGGTGTGGTCGTGCTGGGGTGTGGTCGTGCTGGGGGGGTGGTCGTGCTGGGGGGTGGTCGTGCTGGGGCGTGATCGTGCTGGGGCATGGTCGTGCTGGGGCGTGGTCGTGCTGGGGTGTGGTCGTGCTGTGGTGAGGTCGTGCTGGGGTGTGGTCGTGCTGGGGGGTGGTCGTGCTGGGGGGTGGTCGTGCTGGGGGGGTGGTCGTGCTGGGAGGTGGTCGTGCTGGGGAGTGGTCGTGCTGGGGCGTGGTCGTGCTGGGGCGTGATCGTGCTGGGGAGTGGTCGTGCTGTGGTGAGGTCGTGCTGGAGTGTGGTCGTGCTGGGGTGTGGTCTTGCTGGGGTGGGGCCGTGCTGGGGTGGGGTCGTGCTGGGGTGGGGTCCTGCTGGGGTGTGGTCGTGCTGGGGTGTGGTCGTGCTGGGGTGGGGTCGTGCTTGGGTGGGGTCGTGCTGGGGTGTGGTCGTTCTGGGGTGTGATCGTGCTGGGGTGTGGTCGTGCTAGGGTGGGGTCGTGCTGGGGTGGGGTCGTGCTGGGGTGTGGTCGTGCTGGGGAGTGGTCGTGCTGGGGTGTGGTCGTGCTGGGGGGTGGTCGTGCTGGGGGGTGGTCGTGCTGGGGGGGTGGTCGTGCTGGGAGGTGGTCGTGCTGGGGAGTGGTCGTGCTGGGGCGTGGTCGTGCTGGGGCGTGATCGTGCTGGGGTGTGGTCGTGCTGTGGTGAGGTCGTGCTGGGGTGTGGTCGTGCTGGGGTGTGGTCTTGCTGGAGTGGGGCCGTGCTGGGGTGGGGTCGTGCTGGGGTGGGGTCCTGCTGGGGTGTGGTCGTGCTGGGGTGTGGTCGTGCTGGGGTGGGGTCGTGCTGGGGTGGGGTCGTGCTGGGGTGTGGTCGTTCTGGGGTGTGATCGTGCTGGGGTGTGGTCGTGCTAGGGTGGGGTCGTGCTGGGGTGGGGTCGTGCTGGGGTGTGGTCGTGCTGGGGAGTGGTCGTGCTGGGGTGTGGTCGTGCTGGGGGGTGGTCGTGCTGGTCGTGCTGGGGGGGTGGTCGTGCTGGGAGGTGGTCCTCAGAATTCAGGTCCCCAGGAGAGGACAATCTATAACACAAAACAAGCGTTTCGCTCGAGACATCCTCACCATTTTCTGAAAAACAAGCGTTTCGCTCGAGACATCCTCAAATTTTAATTCGCCGGCAATTCGCCGGCCTCCTTCGACCTCGTTATTTATCAGGGAAAAAATTCGCCGGCAATTCGCCGGCCTCCTTCAAGCAGGCACCGGGGGATTAAGTTTACAAACTAAAAGAGAACCCTGGGCCGGAGCCCTTTCCGGGAAAAACGCCAACCAAACCGATCAAGCCGTCTTCCGTGACCCCAAGGCGGAATTAGTTAAAGCATTCTTGTCGATGGGTTCAGAACGAAGTCCGAGGATTGCTTCGGACGAGTCCGCATGTTCTACGCAGTCATAGGTAAACTTACAATAGCCGTTTTTCCGATGGCCCCAAACGAACGTGGGCAACCTAAAGAGAGGGCGACAACAAAAACGGAAGTTCGCGCCTACTATCTAACGCCCTTCTCAAACGCCGCTCATTCTAAAAACGCCGTCCAACGCTGCTTGTCCACCCTTGATAATCCGCTGTCCCTCGCTTCTCCTCTCCATTCCGGTCTTCCAACAAACCACACATGAATGACGCAATCGGTTGGTGGTGAGGCGTGATCCGTTCACAGAGCAGAAGAGAACCTTTCAAGAACATCCCATTCTCCAAGTGTGCCAGTTCAACAAGCTAATTGCGCGTTTCACCCCCATCTCGATACTTCAAATATTCTCTATGGGGATCTCCACGGTGCCTTGAGCGTGTAAGAGAGTGCTCCGAGGCTCATACAGTCGTGGGTTGGGCAAGGACCGCAGGGTCTTGAAAGGCCTGGACCTTCGCTTTGCTGGAGTTTCCGTGCGCTCGGGGGGTGCTGCGAGAGCCTCCCGGAGGCCAAACCTGTTCAAACTCGCAACAATACAAGAAACAAGGCTATAAACATAAACTTGTGGCGCTCCGTGCGGATTTCTTGGGTCTGGACTGGGCCCCCCTTGCTGGCGCGCGGAGCGCCACAGGAGCGGCGGCGGAGGCGAGGCGCTGCCGAGGGGGCCCCAGCGCGGATCCAAGAAATCCGCGCGGAGCGCCACGAGTTTCGGTCTGCGGCGTGTCTTCTCCTTCGAAACAAAGCCTTCTGCCACTGCAGCCTCAAGGGGTGCGCCGGGCCAGGCGCCCAGCGCCAACCCGCCCGCGAGGCGGCCCGCCAGACAGCTCTTAGGTCGGGCATGTCCTCCCACAGAAGAAACATGATGGACCCACGAACCCGGAAAGGGATATAGACATGTGGAGCATGGACACGTTTTCATGATACCCAACTGGGCAACACCTCACGAAACATCCCACGAGACACCTCACGAAACAGCCCACGAGACACCTCACGAAACATTCCACGAGACACCTCACGAAACATTTCACGAGACACCCCGCGAAACATTCCACGAGACACCCCACGAAACATTCCACGACGACAGGCAACCACTCAACCAAGGCGGTGTGGTCGTGCTGGGGAGTGGTCGTGCTGGGGTGTGGTCGTGCTGGGGGGTGGTCGTGCTGGGGGGTGGTCGTGCTGGGGGGGTGGTCGTGCTGGGGGGTGGTCGTGCTGGGGCGTGGTCGTGCTGGGGCGTGGTCGTGTCGTGCTGGGGCGTGGTCGTGCTGGGGCGTGGTCGTGCTGGGGCGTGGTCGTGCTGGGGTGTGGTCGTGCTGTGGTAAGGTCGTGCTGGGGTGTGGTCGTGCTGGGGTGTGGTGCGGTCGTGCTGGGGTGTCGTGCTGGGGTGTCGTGCTGGGGTGTGGTCGTGCTGGGGTGTGGTCGTGCTAGGGTGGGGTCGTGCTGGGGTGGGGTCGTGCTGGGGTGTGGTCGTGCTGGGGTGTGGTCGTGCTGGGGTGTGGTGCTGGGGCGTGGTCGTGCTGGGGTGGGGTCGTGCTGGGGTGGGGTCGTGCTGGGGTGTCCGCACCCTGTGATTTCGATCGGGTCGTGCTGGGGTGTGGTCGTGCTGGGGTGTGGTCGTGCTGGGGTGTGGTCGTGCTGGGGTGTGGTCGTGCTGGGGTGTGGTCGTGCTGGGGAGTGGTCGTGCTGGGGTGTGGTCGTGCTGGGGGGTGGTCGTGCTCGGGGGTGGTCGTGCTGGGGGGGTGGTCGTGCTGGGGGGTGGTCGTGCTGGGGCGTGGTCGTGCTGGGGCGTGGTCGTGCTGGGGCGTGGTCGTGCTGGGGTGTGGTCGTGCTGTGGTGAGGTCGTGCTGGGGTGTGGTCGTGCTGGGGTGTGGTCTTGCTGGGGTAGGGTCGTGCTGGGGTCGGGTCGTGCTGGGGTGTGGTCGTGCTGGGTATGGTCGTGCTGGGGTGGGGTCGTGCTGGGGTGGGGTCGTGCTGGGGTCTGGTCGTGCTGGGGTGTGGTCGTGCTGGGGTATGGTCGTGCTAGGGTGGGGTCGTGCATTTCGCTCGAGACATCCTGCCAAAATTCCAGGAAATCGTACAAAAACAAACGAATTAGTCGAGACATCATCGAAATTCCTTCGCGCGGGGCGCTTTTCCGCGTCGCGGTCGGCTCTGCAAAACAAGCGTTTCGCTCGAGACATCCTCGGCAAACTCTGCGGAGCAAGCGTTTCGCTCGAGACATCCTCAACACACGAAAAAGTGGCCCGCACCCTGTGATTTATCGATCGGGATTTCAAAAACAAGCGTTTCGCTCGAGACATCCTCAAATTTTAATTCGCCGGCCTCCTTCGACCTCGTTATTTATCAGGGAAAAAATTCGCCGGCCTCCCTCAAGTTGGCACCGGGGGATTAGGTTTACCAACTAAAAGAGAACCCTGGGCTCATGCCCTTTCCGGGAAAATAGCAAATAATCAAAAAGTGCTCAACAACAGTGAGACATAATCGAACAATCGTCCCCATACGATTTTTCTGACTTTTCTCGAGTATTTCTGCTGTCGAATGACATGCCCGACTTCAAACAGCTCTCGGAAAGCACCCCTGCGGCACAGCGCTGGCACGGGCCGCAAGCCGCACTGGCAGGAGGAGTGCAGCGAGGCCGGCGGCCAGTCCTCAGCAGTCGTGGCACAGGCAACGCCCAGAGCGCACGATGGAAGACCGCGAGGCTTCCCTGGCATCTTCCCGGGACGTCCCCTGTCTTTTCAAGAAGAAAAAACGCAATAAACATAAACTTTTGGCGCTCCGGGCGGATTTCTTGGATCTGGCCTGGACCCCCCTCCCTGGCGCGCGGAGCGCGTCAGGGGCGGCGCCGGAGGCGCCGCCGAGGGGGCCCAGCGCGGATCCAAGAAATCCGCGCGAAGCGCCTAAAGTTTATGTTTATGGCGATGTTTCTCCATCGAGTCCTGTACATGACAATCTTTTCTGGTATTCCGACGTGGGTTCGACGCGGACTCGACGTCGACTCAGCACGGATTCAACGCTTTCGGCATCGATCCGACACGGATGCGACACGGATGACTGGCGCGATGGGATTGACGAGGTCCCCCAAAGATGCAACACAACAGGGGAAGGCAGGACCCGCCCAAACCATCCGACGCTGGCACCAAAAACACATCCTCCAAAACGGCCCCAGGACTGCTCAAGACTGCTCCCGTGCAGCTTCCAGAAGG